AAGTGTTCATCGCTCAATAAATTTCCTTTGAATCGTTGTTGTCCGATTACTACTTTTTCATCGCTTAGTGTTTTACGTGATAGCCCTTTCATCGCCTGGCTGAAACTTGTATTTTTGTCATCTTTCAATTTTTTAGCGATAACCCTTTTCATCGCTCAAAGCATTGAGCGATAACCCTTTTTATCGCTCAAAGCATTATTCGATAACCCCCCTTCATCATTCACAGTTTTATCCAGTGAAGTCCTCATCACTCATGTCTTGAGCGATAAGTGATCTTTTTGTTCGATAATCAAGGCTGAGCGATTAGCAAAGTTGGGCGATAAGAAAGTTAGGACATAAGCATTAGTTGGGCGATAAGGAGTGATAATCTGATTTTTTTTTTGACTTTTGAACTGTTTTAAAAGATCAAGTGTTAATCAATCTTTTGAATTGTTTGAAATGATATTTATGTTAGAAAAAGAGATCAAGGAACTAAAAGGGAAAAAGTTTCTGATTTGGAGAAAAGACTGAAAAAGGAACAAGAAAAGTATGTAGAGATCTTTTGTGAGAATCATTCAAATTTAGTTTGGGCTAAGGAGATCAAACAAGATTTGAATAAAATTGAAAAAGAAAAGAAGTTTCTACAAGCAGAGATAGATGAACTTGTTGGTAAAAAATGTTTATCTTAGTGAAAAACAAATGAGAAACTATGATCTGTTAAGAGACAATTCCAGATTGACATCTAGAGTTTATGAAATTAAGAAAGATTTAGAATCTGAAAGCAAAGAGTTTGAGGAAGAAAAGAAAAGGATGCTGAAAGAAAGGAACTTGAAAAAGAGAAGGATATGTTTACAGAGGCTGAAAGGAAGTTTGATGCTGAAAGGAAGATTTTTGAAAGCAAGATAAAGGCATTTGAGTTGAATACTATGAAGCTTTCACAACAAATCATTGATTTTGAAAAGATGATTATTGTAGAAAGAGCTAAATTTGAAACTAAGAGGAAAGAATCCGATAAGAAGTGTTTCGAGCTTTCAAAGAGTAATGTTGCTATTCAAAAGAATCTGGATGATGAGAGAAAATCTTTTGCTATTGAAAGAAAGAATGCAGCAAAGAAGAATTTTATTAGCTAAGGAGTTAGCTGAAAAGAAAAAGTGGTTAGATGTTGCTTCTGAGAATGAGTGATATGTGTTAAGAATTCAACACATAATGCATCCGTTTTGCGTCTTTTTAGTTAAAATTAGTTTCCTTTCATTCCCACTTTGAGTCATTTTGATTTATTTCTTTATACTTTTGTTATGGAGCTGAAATATTGTGGTTTAACTTGTTGGGACATAAAAATAAAAGCTAACGAAGATTTTTTTTGTAAAACAGCCTGATGCTGCAGCATTACAGCTGCAACCACCTGTTACGTACACGGTTTGGCAAGGGCTTAACGATTAAGCTGCTGACTTTTGGATGCTGATTGGATGACAACTAGATGCCAGCTGGAAGATTTTATTAATCAAGGATTTTTGGACTAATGGATCATCTTGTGCCTAGGATTCCATTGTTTATTAGTTTTTTGGTCATTAACTAGTGGGTTAAAGTTTGTTGTTTTGTGCTACACTTTTTGTATAAATAGGGGAGCTTGGCCATTTGTTTAAACACAACTTATATCATATTTGAAGAATCAAAATCAGCTAGTTAGGGCTGATTTTGAGAGCAACTTTTGAGAAAATTCCAAGTTCTTAAGTTTTCAATTTTCCTTCTTTAAATTCTCGTCTTTTATTTTCTCGTCTTTATTTTATGCTCCTTTACGTTTATTGTCATTTACTTTCCGTTATTTAATTTCCGCAATTTACTTTCCTGCAATTTACATTCCCGTCGTTTATTTTCTCGTCATTTATTTTTCCGTCATTTGTTTTCTCGTTATTTACTTTACGCAATTTACATTTATGTCTTTATTTTCCGTTATTTATTTTTTACTTTCCGTTATGAGTAGCTAAACTTTTATAGCTTGGGTGTAAGACGGAAAGGTGAGATTTTCAAACCAAACAAAAGTAGCTAAGTTTTTTCGTAAATGACGTTTCATTGTTTCATTTGAGTTTTTATAAAAACCAAGCACACTTCTTGACSGGTTGATCACTTGAAAGTGTTAAAGTGCGATGGACTTAGAGATAAGCCATCAATAAGCACGTCAACTTGGATGACATAAGAGGTAGACTTGAGAAAGTTGCCGACAAGGAGACTTGTCATTTATGTTTTTCAAAACTTAACTCCCAACGGGTTGGTCGCTCTTCAAAAGTGTCAAAGTGTGATAGATTCAGAGATGAACTATCAAGAACACGCCAACTCGAATGATATGGGAATCGACTCGAGAGAGTTATTTTTAACAAAGAGATTTGTTTCTCCATATATTTTGAAAACACCATTGTGTCACTATCCCCGGTCCGGACACCACATAGAGATATGGATGGAAAGCCATAAGATAGTGAAATGGTGAAGTCCGAGAGGAATGCCTTAAAAATAGATGGTGGAACTTAGTTTTGAAACACTGCTTGCTATAGCATTCCTATAGCATTGGCTGCTGGAATTTGCGTTTGGGTCTCACCTTAAGTCTTACACCCTTGCTTCTTATATTTGTTCTGTATTCTGTTTTGGATCACCTTAAAATCAAACAAAAGTCTTCAAAATCATCATCTGAAATCATCTCTTTCATTGGACTCTAATCTAACTTTGGCTACAATCCCTGTGGACGATAATCCGGTACTTGTACCACTTTATTACTTGGAAAGACGACGTTAGGCCGTATTGTATACTTGCTTTGTGGCCTAATTTCATTAGTCTAAAGGTGTGAAATATAACCGACTAGATTTTTGGCGCCGTTGCCGGGGACTGCTTCGCTAAAGTTTTATTTTCAGTAAAGTAAAAGATTTGATATTTCTAATACCATCGGAATCATTTTTAAAGTGGTGTATGCCACGGTCACAACGCGGGGAATTTTTCGAATTTGATCCCGATATTGGGAGAACGTTTCACCATCTGAGGAGGGCTCAAAGAACATTTTTTGCTCTACTCCCTCCTAATATGGCGTTACCTACCCCAATTGATCCGGAAATACCACATTTGAAAAACCAACCGCCGGGTTTTGAGCAAATCTCACAATTTCCGAACTTTGAACAAGAACATCCCCATAATGGTAATATTTTGGACACGGAATCGGAACCTAATGAGCACCAAAGAGCACAAACTCCGAACATAATTAATTTGGCAAATTCCAAAAATGAGAGGATCATGGATTATGCTATTCCGGATTTTGAGCAATTAAATTCCGCAATAGTTAGGCCACATATGACCGCTCTCCATTTTGAACTCAAACCGATAATGTTTCACATGTTGCAAACAAATTGCCAATTTGCCGGATTACCTTCGGAGGACCCACATTCGCATTTAAAATCTTTAATGGAAATCACTGATGCTTTCTTGATCCCGGGAGTGTCAAATGACGCTCTAAGACTCACTTTGTTTCCATTTTCCTTGAGGGATCGGGCAAAAACATGGTTTAGCTCATTAACTCCGGGTTCTGTGCCGTCATGGAGTAACATGGCGAAATTTATTTTGCGAAGACATTTCCCACCAACAAGGAACGCTAAGTCCAGAAATGAGATTTGTCTTTTCAAACAAATGGACGATGAGGCTGTTCCTGACGCGTGGGAAAGGTTCAATGAGTTGCTAAGGATATGCCCGCACCATGGCATTCTGTACTGTATTCAACTCTAGACGTTTTACAATGGGTTAAATCCCATGGCAAAACAAATGCTCGATGCGACTGCAGGCGGAGCCTTTACAGCTATGACCTATAATGAAGGATATGAAATCCTAGAAAAGATTTCGGCAAACAATGGACATTGGACCGACCCACACGCTCAGTCACAGAAAAAGACTGCGGGGATACATGATGTAGATGCATATACTGCATTAACAGCCCAGCTTACCTCCATGACCAACATGTTGAAAAATTTAACTTCCGGTCAGGAAGGACAGCAAGCTGCTAATACACCAGTCCAAACAGTCCTATCTGTGCAATGCGTGTGCTGTGGCAGCGAACACTCGTTTGAACACTGTCCTCATAATGCTGAATCAGTAAACTATGTTTATAACCGAGTTAATCCCTATTCCAATACCTATAATGCCAGCTGGAAACAGCATCCAAACTTTTCTTAGAACAGTCCCAGTTTAAACCCACCAGTCCATAAACAACAAGGAACTTCTAATTTCCAATCGCAACATCATGGAAATAGTTCTAACTCTCAGAATCACCAACAAGGTTTTCAAAACTCACAACCACCTTTTCAGACCAAACCTCCTCCACAGACAGAATCATCTTCTTTGGAAGCAATGATTAAAGGACTTTTTGCACAAAACCAAACTTTGATATATCAACAAAGTGCGGCCATCAGGAATTTAGAAACTCAAGTTAGTCAACTTGCGCTTAACCAAAGCAATCGAGCCCTAGGTACCTTGCCCAGTAATACAGAGGTCCCTAGAGACCTAGGTCAGGAACATGTGAAAGTAGTGACCCTTAGGAGTGGGAAGGAGTTGAAAGAAAAAGTACCCAAAGATAGTGCACCAATTTTGACAGAAGTTGATGCTACAGCATTGGTTCCTGCCAAAGAAAGACCGGTCCTACCCTTAGAGAAAAGGCATTGGAGACAACCACTTCTGTCCCCCCTAGATCAGACTTTCCATTACTCTTTCCGGAGGATGCCTTAAAGAAGTCAAAAGAAACTGATGTATTAGAGACCCCTAAGCTTGATGCTAGCAATTCATCTGAACCTCCAAAGGGCACCACAAAGACCTAAGGCATTCAGGATCCATCTTGTTAAGCACCTCCAAGTAAGAATGTGATAAAACCAGTCCCTCCTTATGTTCCTTACCCCCAAAGGTTGAGGAATCAAAAAGAGGAACTGCACTTTAAAAAATTCTTGGATGTGTTTAAAGAATTGCACATCAACATCCCGCTTGTTGAGGCAATTGAGCAAATGCCTAGTTATGCCAAGTTTCTGAAGGACATCCTAAGCAAGAAAAAGAAGTTGACTGAGTATGAAACTGTAGCCCTTACCGAAGGATGTAGTGCGCTTTTGACCAATAGCATACCCCCTAAGCTAAAAGATCCAGGGAGTTTTACCATTCTTTGTTCAATAGGAGGGAAGGAGATAGGGAAAGCCCTATGTGACTTGGGAGCTAGTATCAACCTTATGCCCTTGTCTGTTTTCAATAACCTAGGCATAGGAGAAGCTAGACCAACCACAGTCACACTCCAATTGGCCAACAAGTCCATAGCATATCCTAAGGGAAAAATTGAAGATGTTTTAGTACAAGTTGACAAGTTCATATTTCCGGCGAACTTTATCATTCTAGACTTTGAGGCAGATAAGGACATTCCTATTATATTAGGAAGACCATTTCTAGCCACTGGAAGAACTTTGATAGACGTCCAAAAAGGAGAATTGACTATGAGACTCCAAGACCAGAAAGTAACATTTAATGTCTTCAACTCTCTAAAGTACCCTGATTACTTGGAAGAGTGTTCAAGAATATCTGAGATAGAGGAAATGTGCTTTGAAGAAGGAATTCAGAAGAACTTTAAGTTGGAAGAGGAGTTTGATGAGGAAATAGAAGGAGATGTTGAAGAAATAGAGAAAATAGGAACTGATATTGTCCCAGTGGATGCTGCAGCATTTGAGCTGCTAGAAAATAATGAGCACAAAGACTTTACCCCGTCCATAGAATCACCACCTGATTTGGAGTTGAAACAACTCACATCCCATCTAAAATATGCTTTTCTAGGAGAAGAAGGCAAATTGCCTGTCATTATCTCATCTACCCTAGAATTGCATCAAGAAAAGAAACTTCTGGATATGTTGAAATTGCATAAGAAAGCCTTCGGATGGACCATTGCTGACCTTAAAGGGATTAGTCCCTCTATTTGTCAACACAAGATCATCCTAGAAGATAAAAATTTCACTTCCATAGAACCCCAACGAAGGCTAAACCCTGTCATAAAAGAGGTAGTCAAAAAGGAGATTTTAAAATGGTTAGATGCCGGAATTATTTTTCCGATTGCCAGCAGTTCTTGGGTTAGTCTAGTCCAATGTGTTCCAAAAAAGGGAGGGTTCACAGTCATCACAAATGACAAAAATGAACTTATCCCTACTAGAGTTGTCTCCGGTTGGAGAATATGCATGGACTATAGGAAACTAAACAAGGCTACCCAAAAAGACCATTTTCCACTGCCTTTCATTGACCAAATGTTGGATAGGCTAGCCGGAAAGGAGTTCTATTATTTCTTGGATGGTTATTCAGGGTACAATCAAATAGCCATTTCTCCGGAAGACCAAGAGAAAACCACATTTACTTGTCCCTATGGCACTTTTGCTTTCAGAAGAATGCCATTCGGACTTTGTAATGCTCCAGCCACCTTTTAAAGGTGTATGATGTCCATCTTTTCTGATATGCTTAAAAAATCCATTGAAATATTTATGGATGATTTTTCTGTGTA